CTCCACCTCTTCTCCTTGTACGATCACAGCGGAGCATTTCATATTGAGACAATAAATCACCCAAAAGCATAGATATGGTATCCCTAGAACTGAGCCACGTCTCCACAATAGCAATAATATCATAATGAAATTTTTGAATCGCAAAAAGCAATGCTTCCCTGTTCTTCATAATAGACCTGATATTCGTAGAAAGGAAAAATAATCGATGCTGCTTGCGCCCCTTAATCCGGAGATGACTACTCAGTTTGAATTGAGCGGAGAGGAAGCAGAAACTGGAGCTTGTTGGGTCGAAGATTGCACAACAACAGAAGTAGGTTGAGTTGCAGCATTGTGGTTACTAAGACGAGCCAATCGCTCGGCACGAAGCCTTTCCCTTTCCTCCCTCGGAAGGGAAGGGCGGAGAAAGACTCCGGAACAACTATAATGTTTCAAACGCGGGGCCCTACGCAACAACAGTTTAGCAAAAAACGAAGAAGGGAGGACAACTTTAAGAAGCCTTGGGCGGCCTCTGTTTTGCCGACCCAATCTATACACAGAGATTGTAGAGCAATCAATCCATAAAAAATCCATAATGTCCCTAACGGCCTGATAATCATGAATAACTCGAGAGGAGGGCACAGGGTCAGAGCTTTCAGAAATACCGGAGACGATAACAGAGCGGCGGCGCTCAACTTCTTCATACGAGCTTACTACAGAAACAGGCGAAGACACAGGCTTAGAAGAATTCAGAGGATTCGAAGCAGACACAACAGAAGCATCAGCATGAAAACCAGATAATTGCTGCTTGAGATCAGCGTTTTCTAATCTTAACTTACTGACTTCATCAGACAATTCCTTGCATAAAACAGAAATGGAGTACATCTGTTTGCGTTCTTCGAATAACCAGGCCAGAATGGTCCTTAAGTGAGAAGGTGTCGATTCATCCGATAGCAGCAGTTCAACTTGACGATCAATATCAGGCGGAGAGCCAGGTGAGCCGGAAACGTCGTGACAATGACGCTTGAGCGGTCCTTGGCGGGGATTCTGAACAGAGGTAGGAGCAAGCGGTGTAGAGTTCATTACGTAAACTCTGTGACTGGAAACTAATAGACCTTTACAGGTGGCTAAATAATCACCACGAACTCAGATATCAGGCTTCCAGCCACAGGGAGCCAACGTAGAACAAAAAGAGAGAGATCAAAAAGTCAATAATATCGAACACGGCGGATCGATCGGCGCAGCTGCACGCACAAGAAGAAAGAATACGAAAAACTAGAAAAAAAGACCTTATACGGTGGCAAAATTTCTTCTTCCTCATCACACCGTGCCACCCTGGTGCTCACATACGACGAACAACAGAATAATCAGTCACGCGACAAGCAGAAACAGATATCAAGCCGAAATATGCAGAGGCGAATGAAAACCGACCGCACGCCGGCGCGACACACTAGTCAGTAATGTAAGAAAAAAAAGTAAAGTAAGAAAAGAAAGTAAGAAGAATAAAATCAAAAACCAAACAACAATGCGCTTGTGCAAATGGTTTTTAACCTTGTCTTTCTTTGTTTACAGCCCTTCGAAGGGGCTTGGGCGCGACGTGACCGCGTCGACCGACCATCTGCCTCCCTCCTCCCCCTAGCACTGCCTCGGCTAGCCGGCGTGCACGCCGACGGACTATGAAAGCAGCCATTACTACAACGTTGTCAAAGAAGAGGGAACCCCGGCGTCAGCCGGGTGAACCAACTGGTCTAATGTATTGTTGGCAGGTTCAAACTACAAAAAGCCTAGTATGAGAAATAGTATGGTCAAAGTTGAAGTGTGAATAGGGATTAGCTATATTAACGAATATTGTACATATGATGCTAGATGAATTCGAAATTGATTGGTTGCCCAGAAAAAAAAAACAAAAAAATGGAGAATGGCCATATAGATATGTATTTTTGCATTTTGCCTGATCAGTCTGAGGTCATCCTTTTTATTCATTTCCCTACTTCTCACGACACTTATTCATACTTTTTAGATAAACAACGAGGTGTCGTCTCCGTTGTGAAGGGCGATTACCATTACCACCACTACATGCAAGATGGAATAGATGATGCTGGTTTGTTTATTAAGGTACAATTTCCATACTGAGGCAAATTTAACAATGATTAAGTGAAACATTGGGTTTTCATCCTTTTCCCTGTCAATTTCTAATTTACCCCAGTGGTGCGTGTCTGTTGTTGAGGCTGTATTCGAAATTGCATCTGTCGAAATTTATGAATATGATAGAATTTCCTTGAAATCAGCTCATCTTCCGAAAGTCAAACAATTTTCGATGAATTTCAATCGGGATATGTTTCGATCAAAGTTGATGCTTGATACTTTCCACAGGTTTTTATTGTGGTGGGTGCAGTTAGTTCTAATCCGAAACCATTCCTATGATTTAAAAGTTACTCACTAGGCAAAGTTTCCATTACCTGAAATTTTATTACGAAATAGCAGCATCAGAAGTAAAGCAGGGTACCCACTACCAAACTTTTCAGTATTTTGAGATGCAACTAATTCCAATCTAGGACACCTGGTCGTATTTGTTTATTTTTCACATCCACCTCATAGAGCAGTTGGGCTACGCACGCTAGCGCATGCGTACGGTCTTAATCAAGTACAAATAGAATAGTTTTTCATGCTCCCTCTCGAAAATTGCGATTACAGGGCTTTTAAGTGAGTAGCTATCATGAACATTCGCATAAAATCAGGCTCGAATTTGACCGTAAGAACTAGCGCATCCGAGATGTAATGAAAGCAGACAGATTGTTTGATGACGCCTGACACTGGCTAATGCCATTGTAGATTTTTTCTAACTCCTCTCTTTGCGGAAGGTTTGGTCACCCTGTAATTGCGAGGAACTTCATGGTTCCTATCCAATGGCATCACAAAATAATCCGTTTTTGTTAGTGGTTCAGTATGAACAGTATCAATAGACTTCCTATTTCATAGCTGTAATGAAAACATCTAATATAAAATAATCTGTAGATGTGCAGTACATAGAACTACTGTTTTTTAACCTCGTTATACATTCCAACTTGTGCATCGAACGCTATGTTGGCCATATTCAATAGCTTTTCCTATCACACTTCGAGTTGCTGTGATTGTATGCTTCTTAGGAAGAGGAACGCCTTTTTTTAGGTTGGGGATGTGCTTATCGCAGCCTGCAGTCTATTTGGAGTTGGTTCATCCTCAACGGCTTCACGAATAAGTCTGTGCCCACTCATGTGGAAATTCAGCGGGTGATTATTTGTTGATATTAATTGGTGTGTTATTGGTATCAGTGTTTTTCGATTTACTTAATGGGCACAGTTTACGATAAAAGTGGTTTCTAGGTTTTTTGACCAAAACTAACCTGTGCCCCCCACCAAGGATAGTAAATGGGTTATTGTCGGGCGGAGAAACGGCTTACAGTAAGACGGGACGCAATGATGGCTCCGAAATCGGTTTGGTCGGTTAACACACCAAAAAGGGATCATGCAATGACAGTCTTGTCAAACCTGCACCATTTAAATGAGGCGTTAGTGGCTGCTTTTATAGTCCGCCAGCCGGCCCGCGAGCGTGCGTTCGCGCGCCGGCTGAGGGCGGCGTTTGCCACTTTTTACAACTGAATCTTGAACGATACCACATGAACGATACCACAGGCCGAGTAGTCCCCCGGTGGGCTATGAAAGCAGCCAGTACGCCGAGAATAGTACCGCGCATATCGGAGACACCCAGATGCTTACAGGCGGCGAATTATAGAACGGAACATGTAACCACACGTCTCGTTTTTCAAGGAAACAGTTTTTGTGCTATAAACAATGTCGTCAGTATTGTAGAAAATTTTGAAAGATAAAAAAAATGGTGGTCGCTCTGTAGTCGCTATTGCGGTATTTCACATATCTTCTAAGTAGTCGGAGACTACGCTTTACACCACTTGTGGATCTTTTTAAACGACCGTGAATCCTCTTATTTTTGGAACACAAGTATTTACCAGCAAGAAATCGTCTTAGAATGCCTAATAATGCTGAAATATAATAAAAAGGATTGACCATGACTTTCTTTCTTTGTTCAGAACCACGAGGGTTTTTTGATTATCTCTTTGTATTCTTTACCGCTGCATGGAAATCAGCATTAAAAACTCCATATTTATAGTGCTTGGTGGACATCGGTGACAAGGAAGAAAGGTTTGTGGGCAGTCGACAGTGGATAGGCAGCACAGAGATAGGCTTTGCTCTTGATCACCTGCTTGGTAGGTTTGAGTTTTTAATAAAATCTACGGTTTGCAGCATATTTTCTTAAACCCTGACTTTCCAGGAATCGAATCACGCTTCATCGTTACCAATTCTGGGGCCGAAGTTGCTGAAAGAGCGCGCGAATTGGCACTACACTTCCAAACAGTTGGTACCCCTGTGATGATAGGTTAGTGAAATGCTTCTAAGTTTATGCACTGTCTTGGATACTTAGGGATATATAGCGACATACATCCTGATGCGAAATGAAAATTCGTGGACACTGTGTCTCTGGTCGATGCAACCCTAGCGGGTTGGTAATTCCGACAGACAAATTCTTCAGAGTTATTGAAAGGAACGGTTAACTGCGTAACGCAGGTGGTCACGAAACGGAATGATCATCATATCTAAGTTTATTTGCCTAGTAACTGCTCACGTTTTCTTCCTCAAAGTAGTATGATGCTGAACTTGTACGGAGTTCTCACGCGTTTTCTAGCATTTCTCTCTCATTTCTTTATTTGTGGTGTTTTCACACGTTTTTCATTCAGGTTTTCCATTTTCCTATCGAAGAGCCAGGAGAGAGAACCTTTCAACGTTTTTGTATTCAGGTGGAGGGCAGCTGGCCCATACCATTCTCGGTGTGGACTTCGACGAAAATTCCGGTGACTGCGCCTTCCTGGTACTCGATCCACACTACACGGGTTCAGAGGATCTCAAAGTGGTGCTGAGCAAGGGTTGGTGTGGATGGAAACCGCCCACATTCTGGAATCCTGAATTCTTTTATAATATAGTATTACCTCAACCTCCGAAGAATACTCTGTGAAAGAATCGAATGTGATTGACGCGGTTTTCTTTACTATTCAATTCAAATCTGGTCCATGGCGCAGGTCGGAAAGTGCTGTTGCCGGTCATTTCACCTAAGCTCGTTCACCTCCTCGCGTCAACTGGCTATCGGAAATCGCGACAGGATCCTCCTCCGTTGTAATCACATTGCGCGGTTACTCAGTTGCAGAGGTGAGAGCAACAGCCGCAAATACCGCACATACTGACCCGGTATATATTACCGTTGCGTAACCGGAACTGAGTAGGCGCTCTCATTTCTCAGCACCCTTTTTGAAACCATATAAGCTTAATGCGACGTCGCTCGATGCTTTCCAAAAGTTGGGCTGCCGCAGGTGTCCTTCGGTATCCCAGAGCTCAATGATTGATGCCGCTTTTACAATTTTCTTGAGCGTTTCAAATGCTCTGCCCCCTTTTTTTTCGCCTCCTTAATTCTAACGTTGATTACTTCTTAGTTCTCGTATAGTATGCCCTTGCTTTTCATGCTTTCAATGCTTTCTCACTTGTTTTCAACAACGTGCTCTAACGCAGAGACTGTCAGGGCGGCTGTTGAAAGAATGTCGGAATGAATCAGGAGGCGGTCGTTTGGCACGGCCCGTCGCGCCATCCATTCGACGCGTTTTCTGAGCTGGACAACTCACCCAGGCGGTTCACTTTCCTGACCATGCTAGTGGGCCATCCTACCGCCTATCCAGATGATATACGCCCGATCGAAGCGTCACAACTACTAGACATCGGATTGCTAAATTTGTGGTGATGTGAACGACCTTAGCGCCCATCTCTTTGGGGCCCAAATTTAAAGTAGAGTAGATTTGTATGGTATCAGCTGATCCTATTAATCTTCTTTAATGCAAATCTGCGGCTCAATGATAGGGGGCAGAGTCGTCGGAATTGCCATGAATTTCGCCGAGCATTTGTTTCGCCCATCTCCGGACGCATGAATGTACCCATACCCTGGTCAGTAGGTTGAATCACCTGGAAGAGTTGTCCAGCTCAGAAACCACCTCGAATTAGCGGCGCGATGGAAGGGGTCGCGCCAAACGGCATACACCTCGATGAATCCAGTCTGGAGAATCTGGGAACTGTGGTTCTCCAGCAATTAAGGTGCGAACGGTCGAACCCGTACTTGTCCTTTCCAAGGACAAGTACGGGTTCGAGTCTCGTCCGAGACTGAAGTTTTGTCTATAAATTGCCACCCTTGTGAGTCGCCTCAGGCTTATTTACTTAGCGGTAGAGAGGCGAAGTTTTTTTTTGTGTTGGTTCCACTAACTACATTTTCACCAGCTACTTTGTCTCTAATAGCTAGTTCTATGAAAAATAGATCGACTATCTTCAAAGTGTTGAACTCGCACCTCAACCAGAAGCGCCATCGTCTGTGGCGCTTCAATCCAAAAGGCGCCTCGACAAGCGTGTGGGAATCGTCGGTACATATAAATGCGATCCTCAACGCACAACGCTCTACTCTGTAAGCACACTGTCAAGGGAATTCAAAGAGTGGGGATAGATCTATGGGTGTAAATAAGGCGCTACTACCACCTACGTGATGCGACGAGTTTTCGCAAATTTGAGTTTCTTGGGCTTCAACCATACCGACCTGCATGTTCCACCTTCGTCCCTTGTTTTTCCTCAATTTTTCCTTTTTTTTCACATGTGATGTAGGTGATTCAATCATCGTCTCTTTTCTGGTATCCTTCTGTATACTAGTTCGTTGGGATACGTACTACTTTCAATATTTTTTGTACTCACTATATTTTTGGGAAGTTCATTTGTCCTTGTATTAGATTATTTACTTTTCTTGAGTACTCTTTGTGAAATTCTGATGATGTGGGTGATGTGACGAGTTCCTCTATTTCAATACTTTCCTATTTATTATTTGAGGTTAAGATTGAATAAATTAACTCTTTTTTCTTTGTTTGAGGCTCAAGCCTTTGGTCTAATTGTAAGTACGCGAAAGGGAAGTTTTTTCAATACATTATCTTTCATAATGGTTTCCCGTTTGAAGGTCACTTCTCCAATACGTAATGTTTAACTTGTTGACTAATTTTACACTAGTTTTTCAATCCTTCAAGACTTTATGGAATTTGATTTCGGTGCTCGAAGTTTATGCGCACCGCACAAAGTGTGCGTCTTGGCTACTTTCAGACTTCAACGACCGAGCGCCGCTGGCCGCGTGCTGACAACGCTGATCAGATTGTGTTTAAGCCGCGGACTCGTTAGGGTGTGATTCAACGGTTTCCTGCGTTGTCAACACGTGGCCATCGGGGCAACAATCGGTCGGTGGGTCGGTCTGTCGGTCGTTGAAGTCTGAAAGCAGCCACATTCGCCTCTTGGCCTCGTCGCAGTTCCCGTCCTAGGATGTGGCTTCCATGAGGTGGTATCAATCAATACCCAGCTCCTCCGTTTACATACGATATAATCTACGTAACAGTAACTATTTAAACATCTCGATGCCGGCTTGAAGGAGCTCGAACCCGCTTTGGCTGGTCACAAGTCACTTGACACCACGTTCCGTTAATGTGGGCTTCGCATGAGATCCCACGCAAGAGAGTATTTGGAGTAGCAGGCAGGCNGTAACCTTCCAGGCTTGGTTTTCATATCAAAGGCGCTTGCACCTACGGTATCTGGTTATCGAATGACTTGTTTGAAAAATGAAGCCATGTGGACACGCACCACTTTGGAAGTGCCTCCGAAGCAGACCACAGGGGTTTCATCAAAATTATAATGAATACAATGCACCTTCCAAGTCTTAAGTGGAAACATTACTTCAAGCCTAGATATGTATTCAGTAGATCTAGGGCGCCTTCCATCGGGTCCTCCCATGCCTCCAATTTATAAGAGAGCATAGTGAGGTTACATATTCATGCTACCGCCATAAAGTCCCACTTTTTTCTTTAATCTCTCAAAACTATATTATGAGCAAATGGGCACGAACAAACACAAATTTTACGAACAAGCGATAACAATAGATACAGCGATAGCACAGCTGAATCATTCTTAGCGTTAAGTGAAGGAAACCCATGAACGATGTTAGGGAGCAACGGCATGCCGCAAGAACGTAGCTGCATAAGATACTAGCCCTTTCCTAACTACCAACCCTCATAGCATGCCTTTCTCGTCAAAATCTTTAAGCTCTTGATAAAACAGAATCGTATAGGTCAATGGCCTCAATGGATGAACGATGTCGATTATTACTCGATTTGTTGATTATTCTATTAATTTTCTGGTCCACCATCGCTCTTCTCAAACAAAAGGCAACTCAAAATGAACATTATGAAAGTTTTTGACAGTTGAAATCTCATCCTTTGAATGTTCCTGCCTCCCCTCTCGAGGCGTTTAACGTGCAAGCCTATACATATAATCCTACCATTCACATATACGATGCATCGCAAAAAATATCTCGGGCATGCCGCACAGTAGTAAGTCACCGAGTATGTTGCCCCTTATGTGCCCGAGCCGGTACCCGCAGACGGGCAAATGGTTGGGGCAGGTGCAGCTTGGTATTTGTTTGTGGCACCCAAGGTCTGCAGACAATAACAGTTGTTCATCACAGTTGCACCCCCACATGCAAATTCGATTCATGTATCCAAGTGGATTTTGAGGCTTATTTCTTGAATTGTCCAATAAACAAAAGAGTGAACATATTGCTTTGCATTTCATTCTCAAAAGTGTTAGAGCTTACGCTCACAGCCACGGGACCAGCGCCGATCAGAAGATGAATCAGCTAAGTTCGCTGACGACGCTCACCCACTTCCGTGATGACATGGCAAGCGACGACTGGAAAAGAGTGGAGAGTTTGGAGACGATTTGGAAGAGGCTCTTCAGGCCGGCAGGCTTTGTACCTGGTACACTTTTCCGGCTTCACCCCTCTCCCCCACTCTTCGTGTAAACTCGTCAGTCTAACCTTTATAACTATAATCAGGTCCTAAATATATTGTGTGCATGTCCAGCTATAACTCTCAGAATCCGTAAATGGTTTTTAATTCAAGGCCGAGCCTAGACCTGAGTGGAAAACTGTAAAGAGACAAGCGAAACGTTCAGCAACACATGAACAAGACTACAAACTCCTCATCTTGTTGCATACGCTATCTGATAGCCGAACGATGCTCGCCTGTTCCGTGTTATCGGTTATCAAATAAGGGGCCTCTTATGTCAAAATAAAGAAACGAAAGAATGTTATACAGTGTAGCGAACGATGAGAAGATAAATTCTTTTCCACATTCAAATTTCACTACAAAGTTGCGCATCGTGAACTCGCACTACTGTCACCTAACAGGGAAAAGATAGTAGAATTCTTTATAGTTCGTCAGGTTTACCATCACCGTCTTCGGTTAACAATGGAATTATAATCGTCAGTGAAATTTCCGAAACCGTAAAAAGTGAATGTAAATACAGAAATTTTTCATAGATTATTCTAAAACAAAGCCCTCGGAATATCGTTACGTGGTGACTTATGTGCCGAAGTATTTACAGTCAGTCTACCTGGCCAGGTAATATATTACGAAGAAGACGAATAGAGCGAACAACACCAGGTAACACATCAGATTTTTGCCTGAAAAATAAAAAATAAGTGGGCAAGTAGAAATTAGCAAAGTTTGGCCTTCATTCTTCGAAAGAGCTCAGTCAATGTGATCAAGAAAGTAGGATTCCTTCATCTCCCGACAACCGCATGACTAGAAGGGAGGGGATCAAAGAACCTAACGAGCTTTGGAGCACCGGTATAGCCTCTGATGCGTCCACAGGATGCATTGAACAAGCCAAATCGTTGGTTATAACTCCTGTTGCTGTCTGGTTCGTCTAACAGCTTCCTTTTTTATTTTTATTTTTTTNTTTTTTTCCTAACAACTCCACAGTTATCCACCTATAACTTGTCTTATGTCTAACGAGATTACAAGTTCAGCCACATCATGAGTTGACCTAATTTATGCTAAATTAAGTGCTGGTCAAAAATTCTATTGGCGTTAACAACTGCTAAAATGACGGAGACTGTCCCCTCCGTTTAACAGAAACCAATAACAATTTTATAGGGAAGAGTCAAATAAAAAGCAGGTGTTGAAAAAGCGGAATGAAAATGTGAACCGACCTCCAGCCCTACTAACAATACCAAGGCGCTTCATCGTTGACGTCAGTAATCCTTTCGAAGAGTCAAAATCATCGTCCATGCTGTTCAACAAGCGGTTCTGTTCTCTAACATCTTCTCCAATCGATATCGTCACCTGAAATCCATCCAAAAACATAAAATTGATCTTTCGAAGGAGATAAGGACGGAGGTTAGGCGTGATTTCCCTTGTTAGTGGGCTCCTGCCAACTAAAGAAGTTTTTGACCATGTTGAAAACAGTGTTGTGATGTGATATTTAGCTCCCTGAACAACCATGAACATGGAATTTCTCTTGATTTATCGGTGTTATGACACTTGCAGATGTGTAGGTAAAAGAGGAGGTAGTGATGTGAAGTGAGTGTGATATTAAGTAGAGCAAATAATTTTCTCAGTTCTCACACAACAATTCAGAGGAATTTGGAACATCCTAACGAAAGCTTCCTGGTTGAATCAGCCAGAGAACGACGACGATCAGATGCGATTAAAGGGAAAGAAGAATAGTACTAAAGAAAGTTACCTTCTTTAACGCTGCAACCTTGGTCGATAATTCATCAACTAAACTGTCGTTGTGCCGCTCTAGATAACTGCCATCATATGTGTTACTGGTACTAGGACCTTAATCGGTGAATAATCATCATTATCTCGTAAATGAGAGAACAAGGTGAAACAAGACCTCCTCTCGTACCGCGAAAAGCCATAGGTCAAGGGATAGACTTCGTGAGGAAAGAGCAGAGCTAGGGAAGCAATCTGAAAAAGGAAGGAACTTACGAATGGAATGCGAGAAAAAAATTGTGGAATACACGAACAGTCTCATAAGAAGGGATTTTGGATCGCTGGCCCTTTAGATGAGATTCATATCACCATTGGTCGGTAACGCTTACTTCAAATTACCCTGAAAATCCACGAAACCACTTCTGCATGGGTTATGTAAGTATGCAAGTACTACTTCTCGTGACGTGCTTGTGTTCGATGGAAACATTCCGTCGTAAATATAAACATGCCAAGTCACTGAGTACGGTGTGAAAACGATGGCGCAGCTGGTAAACAGGCGGCTCATAGGGTGCTCTCAGNGTTGCTGGGCACGTGTTTACAACGCTGGTCCGGTGGATACCGCTAACGCGGCCTGAACGCAATCTGTTCTGCGTTGTCAACACGTGGCCAGCAACGTGGTAGGTTGTTGGTCGCTGAAACAATGCACGTCGTTGAACTCTGTTAGCTCCCATAGATGCGATTTAGTACTTCATTGAATCTGCATTCTTTAACATCGAGCGTACGGAAGGCAGCTTTGTGTCCATTTGATTCGCAGCCCTCGCTCACCTAAAGGAACAATAGGGAATCCGCTCATGATGTTTCTTGGGGTGGACAGGGATGCAGATGATCAAAGGATACAGCTTACTAAAAAAAAACAGACCGAGTTCAATAAGAAGAATGCAAACCCCACCGCGTCTGCCAGGCTATCATCCCATCAACCACACCTTGATTTACGTCGGTCACACTTGAGCTAACCTCCTCTTATGTCCGATGGAATCCAATACTATACGAGGAAACTACCCTAAACTTTGTTCTCATGATTATTTCGCAAGTTTTGAACGATAGTTTTGAGTTTTGAATATAAAAAGTTCTGGATCACCGTTTAAAGACACATTTGGCGTTATTCATCTCATCTTGAAGGGCCACTGCGACCGACATAATTCACTAGTGAGTAAATAAAATTTTCATTGGATCACTGGAGCCCACTTGTCGGCCCACTCACGAGGAATCCAGCTTTATTTAAGGCAACCAATGTCAGAAAAATAGATGAATACAGCTGAATCGGGGAGTATCTAATTACATGTCATAAGCATAAAATTGTACTCAGAACCTATTGGTGACCTGTCTAGAAGCTCAAAAAATAAAAAGCTATCACCCCATGTAACTCTTGAAAAGAGTCTAAAGCAAGAAAAATATAGTTGTATAAGTTTCCAATTTCTTACTGATTTAAAGCCCGAAAACCCACAATAGCTACACTTTCATATTAAGACGCTTGATCCGTTTTTCATGCTCAGTTAACAATGCTTGGCCTTTATAATTGACCTCCCCAGCAATCGGTGATAAAACACAGAACTCCTATTTTTTCCTACGATAGAAGCAATTTTAATCACCCTTATTCTCCTGAGCAACCAAATGAGGGACAAAATAACTATTGAAATCTTTTCTAAGTGTGTTTGGAGGTTTTCCGCTCCATGACAACAGTCCACAAGGTTCTCACCGGAGATGCTTTGGAAATGACGGAACTCACGAATAAAGACAAAGTCACGTCATTAACTTATTTTATAGGCTATCCAGTGAAAAATAAATGAAGTGATGCCAGTCTTGTCTACTCAATACTCCAGCACGTGGGAGAATCAGTTGATTCCGATTGACTAGTTTTTGTTACCTCAACCTTCCACTTGGCAAGCCAAGGAAACGAAATTCGGCTGGAGCCGGATATACTTTTTGCAGGGCTGTTAAAAACCCATGGAATGGTGCGCAACCTGATTTGGAAAAAAGGGATTTATAACAGTAATTACAGCTCGAAAAAACAACCGAGCATAACCCATGTTCTTTCGAACTGACAATGAGATTACCCTTTTGACGAAACAAAGAAGCTATTTCCAACTGACAATTACTGAGGCCTATGCATTTGAACTGAAGCAAGCAATCGAAGTTCAATGAGACGTCGAAAACAGAGTTATATTGAACTACCTTCGAAACCCTTTTGAAATGTTATGTAGTTCTGCGCAAAAACTAGAAAAAGCGAGATAGACCAGAAGAGACTCACCATAGATAAGTAGCGTAGTATAACGTGCTCGAATTGCAAACCACGTCATCAGCTTGATTAGGCCTGCGGACTACATGAACACGGTCCCTTTAATTGTACCCTCGTCTGTTGCCCTCCCATTTATCGTGATCTTTAACTGCTGTGTTTGTCTAACCAATGAAGTCTTTGTCACCTCCTCCAGTGATTGCCGCCAAAGTAGTTTTCTGTGCGCTCTAACATTTTGCTGTTAGGGAACACAGTGAAAGTTCAAGTAGCCACGTAAGGGTTTGATTTTGAGATAACTAGACAGTTTCCACAGCATCTCTACTAAACGTTTTCTATTCATCGTCACATCGTCATTTTGGTGAAGTTCATCGATTCAGATCTACTCTCATAATATCTATCTTCTATTTGTTCTTCTGCTAGTGTGTGTTTTGTCTTCTACAGTTACTAGACCATAGTCTTATGTTGTCCGTTAATTCACAATTCTCCTCATAATCTGCATCTTCTGTTTTTTTTTNTTTTTTTTTGTATTTGGAGTCGATGTTTTTACACCGTCGATAAAGTCTGGTGGAATGCAATGATTCATACCGTGCTCTCATTATGTGAATCCTCTTCTGCTCCATTCTGCTCGTAGTTGATTCTTCCTAAGCTACAACAAGCATACTTCACTGGTTCTATGCATAGCTTAATTGGTAATAGATGACGTAATATTAACTGACAAGTGCCAAGCGTGGGAAATACTCATGAATCGCACTAATTTTTTCATCGTATTAAGGTAAAGATGTTCTCCTGGATGCAGACCTTTGAATGATTGGGACAATGCTATAATTCTCATAAACGTTTCTTTTCTTGAACCATCAAATAGTTATAAGAAGCTGGTGGTTGAATTTGGAGGAAAGCTTGAATCCCAAACTTGGACATTGCTACTGAAAGGAGGCCGCGTAGTGGCTTTGGGAGCGATCGTGTTTATTCATAGGACCGTATGCGCAACGGGAGCACGATATTTCAGAAAGGCTGCTAAATGGTTACCCATATTCGTATTTGAAAAGTAAGCTGTGAGCTATTGAAGAATTGAGTTAAAACAGTAAGTTTCACAGTTTGTGTTCGAATGCTGGAAGAAAGATGGTGAGCTTCCAGGAAACGCCTTGATTGGAGGGATTTCAACGTCACATGGGAGTGTGACACAGTAAGCACGACACACGTGGGCAAGATGATCTCGTTGAAATGAAAAATTTGAATAAGAGCTGTACTTGGATCAGTAACTCAGTAAAAAAAGACTGGAAAAAATATCGAGATCCCTCGAAACAAGATGCTTTCATGTGCAATGATTTTTTGTGATCGATAGGCAGGGAAAACTGGTTGTTGGAACGGGTTGCGCCTCTATATTCTCACTTCACGACCAAAAGTGGCACTCTTTACTTCATTTTATGATTAGTGGTACAGCAACTGCTGCAAATTCTGTATTCTCATCTCCTAGTCATCGGTCGTAGGTGTGTTGGACTTTTTGCTTTTCTCGCTCACCATGTCACTTCAGTTTTTTTTTTGTTGCGGAAATCCACCATAACGAATCTCACGACTGCGACCGTTGTCTTGTGCTTGTTTCCCATAACCTAGCACTCTCCCGAACTGCTCACGAGAAAAGCGATCGCGTTTTCTTCCTTCCTTCATAAATTAGTTGGTAATCGCTTTTTCTAGATGCTGTTTGTAAATACGGATTCTCTGTCCTGTGTCCCGTATATGTCACCCTGCGATTGCTTACGCGGTCTTGGTACGCAATTGCTTCCTTTTTCCTTGTATCGTATATGACAAGACGGATTTAATCGTCCCGTGAATGTGTGACTCAGTAACCCAAACACACGCTAAAGCGCCTCCAAAACACCCGTCACATTATGACGCAAAGGAAAGGTACCCCGAGTGAAGCCCTCGAGCGCGAGCGGTGGGGTACTAGGGAGTTACGGTGTCACACATTCACGGGACGCTAAAATCCCTCTAACTCGTATATGAGGTAGGTAGTTAGAGGCTTCATAAAATTCGCTGTTTCTGAAGTGATGAAAACGCGGTGCACGCGGGAGAATGGCTGCTTTCATTCCACGGTTCGGCCCGCGAGCGAGCGACGGGGCTTTCCCCTTGTTTACAACTGAATTTTGGTTGATATCGCCGGAAGAGTAGTCCCCCGGCCGGCTCGCGCGCTCGCGGACTGTGAAAGCAGCCAGTCGTTGGTAATAAATGCGATCACTTTCAATACTTCATGTTATATGGTTCAACATAGCTTGAGCCTTAAAAATGGTGCATAAAAAATTTGGAAAGTTTCCTTTCGAATTACTTTTGTATTGCGGCTTCATGGGACAGCTATTGCAATCCAATGCGAACTTGGTTTACAGTCATCCGGGTGTGGGTAGGAGAAACTGTGCGCAGTGTCTTAGCGCCAACACTATTTTCCTGTACTGAACCTTCACTTAATGGTCGTCATGTCAGCTAATCTCATTCAAAAGTGTGCACACATTTAAAGCGGAGGAGTGGTCTGGTGTTTTCTTCCAGAATGGTATGTCGCTCTTCGCCGCACTCGATCGTGCTCCATGAAGGAAAAGATTTGAATTCCCAGCGCAAGGATACGGCAACCATTGCGGAACCGCTGTCGCTGGCCGTGGGATATCGGGGAGAAGTTCCGCCTTCGAAGGTATGGAGGAATGATGCTGGCTCCATTGACACTGTTTCCATTAGGGGCTAGTACAATATGTTACCTCACGGCCAAATGGGATCTTTCAAAGTTCAACGACGTAAACGACGACCGACCGAGTGACGGCGTTTCTGGCCACGTGTTGACAACACTGGTATCACGCGCCCTCACGACTCACGGCTCGTGCGGCCCTGAACGCTATCTTTCAGCGCCGGCGTCGATGATTGGTCGGTCATTGAACTCCGTTAGCACCCTGTTTCTCCATCCTGGCTGCGGACGAAAAATTAAAAACTGGAAGGAAACATGAGCAGCCAAAATCAACGCAGGATTTCTGTAAGATTTCCGTTAAATGAAAAATCAAGATTTTCATGAATTGGATCAACATTT